AATGTGAGCCAAGGGTTTCCCCAGGCCCAGCGGGGCAGCAAAGGGAGGTAGGGAAGAGGCAGGATGATAATAATTACGAACATCTTCATAATAATGACACTTGGTCACCTCGGTTGAGGAGTCTGTTCTTTTCCAAAGTGCTTCATCTTTTTCGTCTCATTAAGGGGTCCCCTTCACCCAGTGAGGCAGGAAGGATAAAGCGTTGTCTCCATTTTACAGAAGAAGAACTGAGGCCCCATCAGGTCAGATAGTTTTCCCACAGCTACACAGACAGCTGAGAGCAGGGCTGGAATGAAAATTTATGTCTTCAATCCCTCAGCTTTACTCCATGCAGGACCCCCTGCTCCCTGAGCCAGCTGGGGCTCCTCCTGGAAGTTCTAGAGTCCAAGTTTCGGCCTCAATTGGACCTCACAAGATAGGAAAGCATTCTGGCCTGGGAGCCAGGACTTGGGTTCCAATTCTGGCTCCATGACGAACCATGTCAAAACCACCCAGGTAAACCAGAGATGAGGGGTGAGCAAGCCTCTTCCAGCCCGATTCTGGTACCCAAGGGTCTCCTACTCAGGGCCAAGGACACAGCCCCAGAGATCTTCTGACCATACAGAGAGAAGAGAAAGGAATAATCTCCAACTGAGTGCCCACTAAAATCCATCATCTCTAATCCCCATAGCATCTCTGAGAGGCATAGTGAGCCCCTCTAAATTACAGATGAGGAAACAGGGGAAGACTTCACCAAGGGCACAGGGTGAGGAAGTGATGGGATTTGAACCCAGGGCTCTCTGATGCCAAAGCCCCCCATCCCCCACCCCACCCGGCCCACCAGTTTCCATGGAGTTGAGATGGGCATCTCCTCTCAGGAATGTTCAACTTCTCATGCTGATTTTGTGTGGGAGGAACACTGCTGACTTGGTGGCATGCATCATCCTTGCTGCTTCCTTCTGAGCGTTGGTCTCAATACAGGCACAGTGAGTCCAGGAGGGTGATATGCTGGCTACACAGACCTGGGTTTGAATCTTTCCCTACCATTTACTAATGATGTAACCTCGGAAAAGTCATTGAGTCTCTCTGTGACTCAGTTTCTTCATCAGTTCAATCAGGAGTTGGGTCGAGGGCATCAGTTCTTAGCCTGGGACGCACTTTAGAATCAATCTGGGAGCTTTTAAAAATGCCTTTGCCTGTGCTTCACCCCAAAAGAGTCCTATTGAATTGGTCTGGGATGTGGTTCCACATCGGTTTTATTTTAAAGCTCCTAAGAGATTCTAATGTGCAGCCAGGCTGAGAACCACTGGTTTCTGTGCTCTCCAAGGACCAGCCTTCCATATCTAACATTCCACATGGAGCCCTGGGCTCTGATCCTGTTTACCCAAGGATCAGTTGGGCAGCCCTCCCTATGCCAGCCTGGATTGAGGCCCTTAACATAGCAGAAGAGCTGGCCGGCAGCACCACAGACAGTGAACAGCTCATCCCAGCCAATCCCGGCCCGGCTTCTGGAGGTCTCAGTTTGAACCAGCTGTTGGGGAGGGAGAATCCTGAACGCAACTCCTTGCCACTCCCCTCCTCTACCCTCCCTCTCTTTTCTCTGACTCTTCCCTCTCTTACTTGACTGTCTACCTCTACTCCTATGGACCCTCCTCCAGGATACATGTGGGTTTTGACATCAGATCGACCCGGGTTTGAATCCTGCCTCCCCTGTTTCCTTGAGAGGTGAAGCTGGGCGGGAACTGTCCTCGGTGCTGAACATGGAAATCTATTTGTGTTCTCACAACAATCCTGAGAGTTTGGTAGTCCTGTTACCCCCATTTCACAAATGAGGAAATTGAGCTACAAAGGGGCTCATCACTTAACTTCATTCAGCCTCTATTTCCTCATCCATAAAGTGGCAATCTTAATAGAGCTACCTTCAAGGCTTTATTGTGTAAATTCCACGAGATAATGTACATTAAGGGCTTACCACATTATCCAGCACAAAGTAGTTATTCAATAAACGTAATCTATCATTATCATTGAATAATGATATATAATAATAGATTTTATTATTATTCATTAGTAATTCACAGTTTCACTCTTCACTGTGCATAGCGGTTTCCTGTATCTGTAAGATGGGAATGATACAGGATTCTACTGGAGTCAGCTTGTATCAGTTCACAAGAGCCAAATATTGATTTTCAGGAGTTTCTTGAACCACTTTATATCACATTGGTAGCTTGAAATTGGCCATGGTGAGAGTATTTACACCGTGGAAATCAGAAAACACTACAAAGCAGGACATTGCTCCCTGCTCCTCCACTCCCTGGAGCCAATGGTTAAACATTTACCAGCCTGCCACTGCATCTACATCATACAGTTGGCATGAGGACTGAAGGAGAGAATGGACCTGGTGGTGCTTTGTAAACTACAAACTGCTGAACCCAGGGGGATGACCTGAGGTGGTCCCACAGCAGCCACAAGCCTGGAACTCTTTTGTCTGCCAATTCTGGGCAGCTGCTGACTTGTGAAGGAGGTGGGAGGGGCTGTGGGGCCTGGGGAGCCACTGGTGAATCACTGACCCTTCACCATTCCCACGTGTCGGCATTAACTGTAATGGCTGCAATAAAGAATCCCGGATTGGGGAAATGATTCCATCATCCCCACGGGAGTCCCTGGGATGCAGCCAGAGAGGGAGAGAGCTCAGCCATGTCCCTGGGGAGTCACTCAGCCCGGCATTGTGCCTTGCCCAGAGGGTGGAGGGAACATGCAGAGGGGAGTGACAGGAAGACCCTCTCTCATAACAGTTACAACAGCCACTGTTTATTGAGCACTCACCATGAGCCTGATGCTTTATGTATCCTCTCCCATTTCAGTATGTCTGGGAGGGAGGCAGGATTGTGCCATTGTATGCTGGCATGCATTGCCTCCTGAGACGACAACACAACAACCTGCATTTATCGAGTTCTTAGCATGGGCCAGACACTGTCCTTGGTGCTGAACATGAAAATCTATTTGAATTCTCAGAACAATCCCAGGAGTTTGATAGTACTGTCACCTTCGTTTCACAAATGAGAAAATTGAGGGACAAAGGGATTCATGACATGCCCAAGGTCAGACTGCTAATAAGTGACAGGGCTGTCACTGACTGTGACTGAGTATACTGGGCCATCCTCCCCAGTCGCTGTGCCTAAGCTGACTCTGGCACCCGGAAGGACTTTGGCATCAGAGAGCCCCGGGTTCAAATCCTACCACTTACTCACTCTGTGCTCTCAGTCATTTCCCCTATCTGTAATTTAGGGGGCCCACTCTGTCTCTCAGAGATGCTATGAGGATTAGAGATGATGGATTTAAGTGGCTGGTGAAGCCAGTCATGTAGCGGACGCTCAATAGATTATTCCTTTCTCTTCTCTCTGTGTAATAGGAGGCACCTGGGATCATGCCCTGGGCCCTGAGTAGGAGGCCCCTGGGCACCAAGCACCGAGAGGGAGGGGGCTTGCCCAACGTCTTCCCCAGCTTCTCCGGGCAACTCTGACATGGTGGACATGGAGCTGGAGACGCCAAAGAGAGAGACGCATTGCAGGGCCAGTTTCGGAGGCTCAGGCTGGGAGGGGGGACCTGGAGAGGAAAATGAGAAATGCAAAAGAGTGAAAAATAAATACATGTGTCTGTCTGGAATGATGGAGGGCCCCAGGCTGGAGGCGGGAGAGGCGGGTGGTGGGCTGGGCTTAGCAGAATTGCTGCAGTAGCACTTCCAGAGCCTCACTCATTAGCCTGGCAGTGACCTGGCCTCACCTCCCAAAATGCCACCCTGCTGGCCCGGAGAGCCCAACCCAGCCCCAGGAGGGCCCCACCCAGAACCTCAGGAGGCCTGGGCCCCATCCCCTTACCAGCAGGGCACCCAGAAGAGGGCGTCTCCCTGAACTGAGGTCTGAGACTCATTCCCTTTGGGTCATATCCTGAGCCCCCAAGACTCCCTCTTGGGTTTCCACCCCCCTCCTGTCTGGAAAGGTTCGGATGGACCAGACGGCTTTGCCTGCCCATCCATCCGACCCCTCCCCCACTCCCACCCTGTCTAGCCTCATGTCCCAAGCCCTGCTTTCGTCAAATTGAACATGATGTCAAATTAGAGCCATCTCTGGGACAGGCCGAGAGAAGCTCCCAGTTTAATGAGGCAGCGTCGAAAATCAATAACTTAATTGCCGCTGTTTGATGGACTTTTATCCAATTTATACTCTCCCCAGCAGCCTACGTGCAGAGCATGAGGAGAAGTATGTGTGTGTCTGGGGGCGGGGACTGTCTGGATACCCGAGGGGGAAGGGCGTGGAGAGCACCAGGGCCCACAGCCAGCTACTTCCCAAAGGGAAAACTGGGTGCTGCTATTCTCCTGCTCGAGACCAAGAGACACTGGCCTCTGAGCCCCAGTGAACTGAGTTGTCCTTCTGGGCTGCCCACTCCCCCGGGATGGGGATGGTGTGGTGAGGGGGACCTGGAGGAAGGAGGCAGAATTCCCTTGAGAAATCAGGAGGGGCTAGGATGGGTAGAAAGACCTCTGCTTTGGGAGTCAGGTGCCAAGTTTCCACTCCTGACTCTAACTCCAACGGTGATGACCTTAACTGGTGAAAATGATAACTGCCAACACCCATTGAGAGGCTGCTCTGAGCCTGTTCTGCAGAGAGTTTAAAATGCATTCCCTCAACTTCATGAACCAAGAACTAGGATTGTCCCCATTTTGCTCAAGAGGAAACATTCAGAGAGGCTGCCTTCCCTCGCCAGAGTCCTACAACTGGGAACCACTGAAGGGAGATTTGAGTCCAGATCTGACTCCATGGTCATGCTTGAGCCACTAGGAAGGCTCCAGAACATTCTGGAAGTGGGTTGGGAGTCTGTGTGGGGATGTGCACTGTGAGGGGACTGGCTTCAATGACCTCCAGCCTGAGTCTCCCCTCCCAGCTTCCCTGGGGGTGGGGAGAGGTGGGGAGGACGAGGGCAGCAGCCCCAGGTGACCCCTGTCTCGCTTGGTCCCCCGGGCCCAGGCACATCGGTGATGCAAGTGATGGCCTCGGATGCGGATGACCCCACGTACGGCAGTAGCGCTCGGCTGGTGTACAGCGTGCTGGACGGAGAGCACCACTTCACTGTGGACCCCAAGACCGGTGAGGGGCGGCCTCCGGCCAAAGGGCGGAGAGGCGGGGCCGGGAGCCGGGCCTGGGAGTGGGGCGCAGCGGCGGGGCCGGACGGGGCGGGCCGAGGACGGCAGCCGGATGTCTGCTGTCGTTCTTCTAACCAAACTGCGCTGAGGGCACAACAGAGGATGCGGAGGCATCTTGCCCGCCCCAGGGGACCCCAGGGTCGCGGGGAGGGAGAGGCAGCCAGGCACGAAGAGAGAAGCCCTGAGAAACAGAAAAAGAATGGGGTGGGGGGCGCCTGCAAGACTGGTAGAAAAGCAAAAAGGCAAGAGACAGCCACTATGGGCGCCCTGAAAGGACTTCTGAGGTCTGAGCTACGCTCCCTTGTCCTTGGAACTAAACTGAGGCAGGTGTGTCCACAGCTCTTACCAGGTCGGTCATAAGTGGAGTCTGGGGGGTCAGCTGGTCAAGGGGACCTTTTCAGCAGTTGTGAAAACTCTGTTCAAATGGCAGTTGTTAAAGATCTGATGGAAAAACAGACACCGTTACGTCGTCTTTGCTTATTTGCCCTCCCGCCTCGCCCCCACCCCCCAAACAATGGTGCAGCACCTCTGTTCACCCACTCTGCTGTTAGATCCTGATTACGGCTCTCAGAGGCCTTTCGAGTGGCAGGGAGGACGGAAGGAGGAGACTGAGGCTCAGAGAAGTGAAGAGGCTCACTGAGGTCGCACAGCTGGGAGTGGCTGCCAGTCCCAGGGGCAGTGCTCTCACTGTCTCTGGGATAGGAGGGGCAGGGCCGGAGTGAAGTCTGGAGATGAGACATCAGGCACCACAGAACATTTATCAGATGCCAACATGGGGCTCACAGTCCGGTGGGGGCAGGGAGACAGGCATATGCATGAGGAATTAGGATGCAAGGTTCTTGGAGGCGGTAGCAGGGGATCTCCAAAGGATGAGAAGGTGTTGGCCAGACCAAGATTCAGAGAAGGGCATTCCAGGCAGAGGGCATGGTGCAGGCAAAACTGGGAGGAAGAGAACAGCCTGAGGCATGAGGGGAATTGTAAGCAACCCAGGATTGAGGAAGCGGCCGTGTTGAGAAGTGATGTGGAGAGGCTGGCAGGAGCCTGACTGTGCCCAGCGTAAGCCAGGCTGAAGAGCTTGGATTTTATTCTAAAGGCAATGGGGCGGGGTGGATGCAGGGGGTGCTTGATGGATTTGGGTGTTGAGTTTTTGTTTGTGTGTTTGTTTTGTTTTGTTTGGAGGGAGAGGTTGAGTATAGCAGTCTATGAGCACAGTTATAATTGTATTCTCTTATACATAATATCTACATGATTTTTGTCTCCTTGCAAAAGGATACATTTTAGAAAACATTCAAACATAAAGAAATGTTACAAAAAAAAAAGAAAAAAAGTGCTTCCCACCCGCATTCCCAGTAACTGCAGCCCCAAAGGTAGCCACTTGGTGTATGTATCTTATGAGATCTTGGACTTGAAAAATATTGGGGTTTTTTTAAATAGATAATACATTGCAAGGTTCAAAATTCAAAAAGTCCAAACAGGTATTTAGTGGAAATTCTTCACCCCATCCAGTCCCTCAGCCACACAGTCAGTGTCCCCAAGGCAACCAATGTCATTTTCTTGTATATCTTTCCAGAGCTCTTCTATGCATGTACAAGAAAATAGGTACATATATTTGTTTCATTATTTTTTACACAGATGGTAGCTATAAACACACTGTATACACACTCCTTGCCTTTTTCTCTTAACAGTACGTCTTGAAGATTATTCCATATCAGTACATAAAGAGCTTCCTCATTCTTTTATTTAACAGCTGTTGTGGATACACTAAAATTTATTTCACCAGTCCCCTCTTGATGGACACTTATGCTGTTTCCAATCTTGTGTTACAACGAACAATGCTACAGTGAATAACCTCATACATATATCATTTTGTGCTGTGTGAGTATATCTGCAGGATAATTTTCGGGAAGTGAAAAGCTGGGTCAAAGAGCGTGTGCATTTGGAATCTCGATAGATAATGCTGAAATGTACCAGATTACACTCCCAAGACCCAGAGCCTGTTTCCCCTCCTCCTCACCAACACTGCGGGTTCATTGATGACTTTTAAGCAGGGAAGTGACATGCTCAGGTTTTCATTTTAACAAGATGCCTCGGGCTGCTGCTGTATAGCATGGCTCAGAGGCAGGAATTGAATTCAGGGAGACCCAGGAGCCTGGGGTGCCCAGCAGAGAGCCCCAAAGCACAAAAACCAAAGCCTGCACCCTTTCTCAGCACCCACCCAGACTCCTTAACCTCTTCATCTAGTTAGGGGGCCAGAGATGATGATATAGGATTGATGGGGGGGTTAGTTGAGATGCTGATATAGGATTGATAGGGAGGGTTAGTTGAGATGCTGAGGAAGGAGAATGAGGGATGACAGTGAGATCCTGCAAAGGGCAAACTTTGAGGGCCTGGATGAGTATATGGAACTAGATTGAGGAAGGAATCTAGGGGTTCCAAACTTTTGGCCCTGGGATGGGAAGGGGTACCACCTACAGAAACAGAAGGAGAAATGTGGATTAAGAAAACTGTCTAGGAGCAGAAGAATTAGTGAACGTGCCCCAGGATCTGGGGCAGAGCTAAATGATTCAGTTTTAACCATAATGGCTTTAAGATGAGAGAAGAGAAGGAGAAAGAAACATCTAGCAGGCCATCTGAAGTCTGGGCCTGGAGCTCTGAGAATGGTTGGGCTCTTTAAGTTTTGGTCTCCCCATGTGCACAAGAGGGATAATAATACCCAGCTTACATGATTGTTGTGAGGATTCAATAGGAGAGTTCATTCATTCATTCAACAAGTTGTCATTGTGCCCTACTATGTGCCCATCTCTGCTCTAGGCTCTAGGAATGCAGCAGCAGGCAAATCCAAGACCCTGCCTACCTTTTATTCAAGTAGGGAATTCAGGAACCGAAGCATATGAGCATACAACACAATGTCAAGTAGCAGTGAGTGCTGGGAAGACACATAAAGCAGGGTAAGGGGACAGACTTAGATGAAGAAATCTGGACAGGCCTTTCTGGGGAGGTGATCTTGGGACAGAGAACTGAGTGAAGGGAGGGTGTGAGCCATTCAGTATGTAGGAGAGAGCGTGCAGGCCAAGGGGACAGCGAGGGCGCAAAGTGCTCAGTGCCATACTCGCTACGTAAACGTAAACCAGGGGGATGATGAGGCTGATGAAGCCTTCATCCATTCAGCCTGAGGAGGTGGGGCCCTTAGAGCTCATCAGCTTTGAGGCAGGGAGTTAGAGGCAGAAAGTAGGCATCAAGGAAGGGCCCAGACCGAGGCTAGGAGGTGGCAGGGGTGGGCAGATGAAGGATCAGACTCCAAGACAGTGAGGAGGACGGCCAGGTTGTACGAAAGAGCATCCGCCACTGCAGACAGTCAGGAGGAGAGTGGCGAGTGGGAGACTGGGGGAGCAGGAACAGTTCCCAAGAAGCCAGAACGTGGGCACCAGGCAGGGCAGCTGAAGGAGCACAAATGGGGTTCTCGTTCTAGGGTCCCTCACCTTTCTCAGTCTGAAAGGGTCTTTGCTGACGTTTCCCAGGAAGGACCAGATTTTTCCTTCCCTGCCTTCAGCCCCGCTGCAGGAGCCGCCCTGGTGCCATTCCCAGCCCCAGCTCCATTTCCCCGCCAGGAATATTCCGCTGATGCCGGTCTATATTTAGCAGCTGCTGCGAGGTACAGTCTGTTCTCGCTGTGCAGATAGCAGGGAGCAGAGCCGGAACAGGGCCTGAGAGGAAGGTGTGAGGGAAGGGAGGAGGCGGGGCGCCAGGAGGCCGAGTGCCAGAGGAGGAATTAACTTGTGTGTTTTAAAGGCCAGGGCTGCCAGCAAGCCCCCCACCTTGGGCGACAGGGATGGCATTTGTGGGCTAATGAGGCGTCACTGGGGCTCCAGGGCCCCTTCGCAGCATTTGGAGGGGACGGTGGGGGTGGCAGGGACAACAGCGGGAACTGGGGGCGATGGGTGAGGACAAAGCCACATAGAGCCGCGGCCAGGTTCTAATTACCAGCCCCCGCCCACCACCACCCCAGCAAGAATAGAAAGACCTTCTCAGAGATTTCAAGATATCCGCTAAAAATTCTCAACTGGGCTAGAGATGTCCATTTTCCTGGGAAGGAATGAAACTAACCTCTGCTGAGCGCCTTCTAAGTGCCAGATGCTGGGGTCAGGGCGATGAACTAGATCTGGTGTCTGCCTTCATGGGGCTTCTGTTCCAACAGGGAAGCCGGAAACAAATAGACAACTACCCCCAGGTGGTGAGAGGGGAGATGGAGGGTCTGTGGGAGCAGAGCAGGTCAGGCAATATACATCCCCAGTCTATAGAGTAGGCAACTGAGGCTCAGAGAGACTCGAGAACTTTCCCAAGGTCAGATAGCGTGTAAATGGTGGAACGAAGACTTGAACCCATATCTGTCTGACTCCAAAGTCCCTCCTTTTTGCACGGCCTCTTATCCGACTTTGTGGGCCCTCAGTGAGGGTCTAATAAATGAGTGAGTGAATGAATGAATTTGCAGAGCCAGAACGTTTCAAGAACAACTTTGTGCGCTGATTTGGGAATTTTATCCCAGGCACCCCCAGGAGGGCACCGGCCTCCAGGATGCTTCTCCCAGCCTCAGGAGGTAGAGTGGGGAGTGGAACACAGTAAATAGCAAAAGATGCCGTCACTTCCTCCCACCCGTGCACTGGCCTCTTAGTAAGGGGACTTTGCTGTTCCTCCCACCAAGAGGCGGAGTCCATTTCCCCACCCCTTGAGTCCGGGCCGCTTTGTGATTTGCTTTGGTCAACAGAATGTGGCAGAAGTGATGTCTGCAAATTCCAAGACCAGGTCTTAAGAGACCTTGCAGATTTCACTCTTCCTCCTGGAACAGGGCCTGAGACGGCTGTATAAGAAACGCAGTCCAGCCTGCCAGAGGATGAGAGAAGGTTCGGCCCACAGCCAGGATCAACTGCCAGACATGTGCATGAGGCCTGTTGGGCCTTCCAGCCAGCTGACCATCCAGTTAAATGCAGCTGCAAGAGTGCGCCCAGCAGAGGCACGGGCCGGGAGCCTCGGTTCTCTATCAGCCGTCTACTGCTTTATAACAAGCTGCCCCTACACGTGGTGGCTTAAAACAGCAACGATTTGTTACAATCCTGTGGGCGGGCTGGGCAGTTCTTTTGCTGGGGTCACTCACATGGTGACAGTCAGCTGGCAGGTCAGCCAGGACAGCTGGCATGGCTGGGCCTCTCCCTCCGTGTGGCCTTTCATCCTGTTCTCAGGGTTCCAAGAGGACAGGCCCCAGCACACAAGGGCGTATCAAGCCTCCACTTTTGTCACACTTGCTGATGTCCTACTGGCCAAAGCAAGTCACATGGCCAGGGCCAGAGTCAATGTGGGAGAGGATCACCCGAGTGTGGATCTCAGCAGGTGTGGTTCACTGGGAGCTGTCACCATAGCAACCTATCACTGAGTGGGATCCCGGGGCAGGGTCCAGAGGCAGCATGGCACCTGATCCCACACGCTGCAAGCCTTCATGACCAGTTTCCATTTGAGAAGAGTTTAGTGTCCCCAGTTCCTCTGGAGCTGGAAGTGGCAGGGACAGCAGGAGGCCGGCCACATGAGCGTGACTCCTCATCCACGGGTGGACCTCAGCCAGGCCCCTGCTCCAAGCCCCACTCAGAGCTGTAGTCACTCTTTTTGGTGCACAAGCTCACAAATACACAGTGGCCCCAAATCCTGTCACCAGCCTCAACATTCAGTGAGATCCTAGATGTACAGCGACATTCATGCAGTGAGGGCTCAGCCTGTCAGCTCCCTCCCTGCCTTTCCTCCTTGTTCGCTCAGGAGCCCCTGTCTCTGGCCTGGTGGCCACTCCACTGTCAATCTGTCTGTCTGTGGATCTCTCTTACCGTCTCCTCCTGGGTGTATGTTTCTCTCTGGCTTTACCCCTCCCCTCTCTCCTTCTGTCTGTAGGTCTCCCTCCCTCTCTCCCTCTCTGTTTCCCTCGCCTCCCCTTCCGCTTCCTCTCTGTCTCCACGTGCACGTCTCTCTCCCCGCTGACTCTCCCTATGTTTCTGTCTGTCTGTCTCTTTCCCCAGGCCCTCTTTTCTTCTCTCTCTTCTTCCTTCTCTGCCCCCTTCATCCTTCCTCCTCTCCTCTCTCTTCCCCTTTTGCTCTTTCTCGCCTTCCAGCCCCCTGGGTAGAGGACATGACAGGCTCCCCTGCTCTCCGGGGCTGCAGAGACTCAGCTAACAGAGCAGCTGAGGCTTGGGCGCTGCCTCACATCCAGAAGGGGCCCCTCTCACAGTCCCAGTGTGGAGCCGCAGCACCTGGGGAACAGGTCAAGGAGGGCCTGCTGCATGATCGAAACAATTGCCTGATTAGGACTGAGGAGAGCAAGGAGGATATTCTGGGAGCTGAGACAGGACCGCATAAGTGGCATCCCTCTGTCAGAGGCCTGAACCCTCTCCTGTACTTGGTGGGGGGTGGAGCAGGGGATTCGAAGAGGGCTGGGCAGGGACCTTCCATCCTTCAGGCAGTCCAGCAGAGCAGTTCAGAGCATGGACTCTGGCCTCAGAGCGCCTGCTTGAATCCTGGCTGTGTGCTTTTCACGTGTGCGACCTTGGGCAACTACTTAGCCTCTCTGCACCTCTATCTCCTTACCTGTAAAATGGGGATAATCACAGCACCTTCCTCATAGGGATGTTGAGAAGATTAAATGAGGCAGTTCCCTTCAGGTGCTTAGAACAGTACCAGGCACAGAGTAAACGCACATCATCGTTATTGTCATGTGCAGTTCTCATGAGATGAAACTGCACCAGTGGTTCACAGCCGATTTTGCCCCCAGGGGCCACTTGATGATGTCTGGAAACATTTTTGGAACTGGGGTTGAGGGGGAGGGTGCTGCTACCGGCACCCAGTGGGTAGAATTATCGTGCCCAAAATGTCAGTAGTGCCAAGGCTGAGAAATCCTGTTCTGTAAGGAGGTGTTGTCGTTCACCCATTTTACAGATAAGGAAACTGCGGTTCAGAGAGGAAGGGATTTGCTCAAAATCACAGGGCCAAAGAATGGCAGATCTGGGATTTATCCCAAGTTCATCTGCTTCCAAAGCTCCCCTGTCCTTGGGAAGGCCAGTACTGGCGGAGGAGGGGTCAGGAGGGGGCCTATTGAGGAGTCTGGAAGGCCAGTGACAGCGGATCTGTGTGACTCTTGATTAGACAGACTACACATTCCACATCCATGTGATCCCACAAAAGCAGGGCCCCCCTCAGGTGCCCCACCCCTGGCTCCCCCAGCTACACGTACAAATACACACACACACACACACACACACACACTCCAGCCGCTCCTCCCGTTCCATTGCCTTTATTGGAGTCTGGGGGCTGTTTGGGACATCAGGAGTCGGAGATTGGGTTTTATGGGGCGCATCGTGGGGCTGCTGGTGCATGACTCCACCTGGTGCTCAGGCCCTGGGCACCACCTGTCACCACCTGTGCTCGGCAGGTTGGGGGGAGCGTGTGCTGAATGCCTCATCGACTCCCCCTCCCCATGACACCTCCCTGGCAGGGAGGCAAGAAGCCCAGCCTTCCCCTCCGCAGTTCGTCTTGCAGTCACCCCCGTTCCTGCTGCCCCTCCCCCTCTTCCGTTAGCAGCCTGAAGGATTGTCTGATCAGCCATTAACTAGTGCCTGGACGGAGAATCTAGGGCCAGGCCGGGCCCGGGGGAGCAGGGCCCCCGAGGGTTGGAGGGTGGCTTCATCGTGGTGGGGTGTGTGTGAGAATAAGTGTGTGCTAGCAGCTATGAGTGTACGTGTACATCCGTGATCCTGTATGTGTTCTTGTGTATGTAGGACATGAGTGTGTGGGATGTATCTAGTGTGTGTACAGGTGAGCGTGACTTCAGAGAGAGTGTACATGAGTGTAGGTGTGAGTCCAGGTCACACTGTTAAACACTCACCACGCCACTGCTCCGGGCCTGCCTCTGAGCTGAGTGCCACCGACAGAGACGAGTCGGGCACAGGACAGGCCCCCGCATAGAATATCGGAGCTCACCCTCACATGGGGAAACTGAGGCCCCAAAAGTGTGATGGGCTGCCCAGGGGGGTCACAGAGTGGAAGGTTCTAGTCCCTAGGCCTCTTTTTAGTAAACCAAATAGTCCGTTCTGTTGCTTTTGTGTTGCGTGTGTGTGTGTATGCATGTGTATGTGAGGGTGTGTGTCTGAAAGTGTATGTGTGTGAGTGTGTATGAGAGTATATGTGTTTTAAAGTGGGTGTGTGTTAGTATGTCTGTGTATAATGTGTATGAGTGTGTGGGAGAGTGTGTATTTAAAAGTATATGTGTGTATGAATCTGGTAGTTGTGTGTACATGTATGTGTGAGAGAGTATTGCATGTGGTGTGTGTGTGAGTGTGAATTATCTGTGTGAACGTGTGAGCATATCTGTATAAGCGTGTGTGTGTTATCTGTGTGAGTGTGTGAGCATATCTGTATGAGCACGTGTGTGAGTGCGTGTGGTGGCTGCTGAGCCCACACCTGCACTGTCGCCATATCCATGTCTTCTGCGCGGCCCTCCTGAACTTGAATGAGCCTGGCCCTGCCCGTGGGGTGGCCTCCACATCAGCTGGCAGCTGGTGGGGGCGCCCCTGGCCTCACCGTCCCTCACCCACAGGCGTGATCCGGACGGCCGTGCCTGACCTCGACCGCGAGAGCCAGGAGCGCTACGAGGTGGTGATCCAGGCCACAGACATGGCGGGCCAGCTGGGCGGCCTCTCCGGCTCCACCACCGTCACCATCGTGGTCACCGACGTCAACGACAACCCGCCCCGTTTCCCACAGAGTGAGTGAGGCTTTCCCAGAGGGAGACAGCCGCGTCTGTCTGTATACCCATCCAAGCCACCCACCGACCCAGCACCCCTTCTATCGGGCTTCCATGCAGGGGAGCCACTGGGGGTGTCCATTCATCCTTCCAAGCCACCCACTGACCCAAAGCTTCCCTTTAGGCTTCCTACCAAAAGAGGGATTCCCATCTGTCTGTCTGTCTATCCACCCAAGTCGCTCGTTTACCCCTAGCCCCCCTCCTATCAAGCTTCTTGCAGAGGAAGGCCCCAAAGTTGTCTGATTTTTGGTACATCCGAGTAACGTGGTTATCTTCCCACTCCTCACCTTGCTTCCCGCCGGGGGTGCGCCCCCATCTGCCCACCCACCTCAACCCCTCACTGGCCCATGCACACACCCCTATGCTACTTATTGCACGTGATCTGCCACTGAGCCAAGCTTGCAAAGGGGTGGGGCACAGGGATATAGACAGAGGCTGTAGCCACACCCAGGCCGAGAATTGTGCAGTGGAGAAGCTGAGGTCTGGGGTCACAGCTCCTTCCCTCCCCCGGTGAGCCTGGAGGGCAGGATCCTGTGCTTCTGAATTAGGAGGGCTTTCCACTCTCTGCCTCTCCTGGCACCACAGGGGATGGGGGGTTCTCTGTCCCAGTCCCCCACCTTCCCATCAGCCCAGCCAGCCCCTCTGTCCCAGACTTAGGCCGAGAGCCGCGAGAGCCGCGCCAAGGAAGCCGCCGACGCTGGCAGAGACTAAATGCCGCGGGGAGCTGGGCTGATTCCTATCGGGCGAGTCATTACTCGAGGTCTGCTGCTCTCACATTAGGCCCCGCCACAGGGGACTGACCCCCGCGAGATAAGGGAATCCAATCCCTTAGCTGAGAGCACAGCATCACTGCGGCCCCGTGCCTCAGCCCAGACACAGAGTGGGGTGGGCAGAGCCCACCAGACAGCTCCACGTCGCCAGGGAGCCTGGCACAGAAGCCCCCTGCCCACTCCCCCAGCCCAACCCCAGCCACTGATGGGGAAGCTTTGAAGCACCATGTAGAGGGGTGGGGCCACCCAGTCTTCTGCCTAATTGTGCCAGGCTCTGTACCAGCTCTGAGCTGGAAGGGGTGGGGCCAGAGCCCCAGGAAGACTCTTGTTCATTCATTCATTTATTCATTCTTTATTTCTAACATTTCTTTATTGTGAAATATAGCACAGAAACAGAAAGGCGTAAAATATAAATATCCAGTTCAATGAATAATTATAAAGCAGACACTCCTGTAACCACCAACCCAGACCCCAGAAGCCCCCACAGGCCCTTTCCCGATCATAACTTGCCCCCTAGCCCTTCCTCCAGAGTCAACCACCATCTGCTTCTGTGATCATCACCACCTGCTTTCCTTGAGGGTTGATTCACCTATGCATGCATCGCCTAACATTATAGTTTAATTTCACCTGTTTTTTTAACCTCATATAAATGGAATCATATAACCCAAATTATTTGTGTCTGGCTTTTTTGTCTCTCAAAATTATGTTTATGAAATCATATGTTGTTGCTTGTAGCTATAATTTATTCATTTTCATTGCTGTATAGTAGTCCATCGTTTATCTATTCTACCGTTGATGGACATTTGTGCTGTTTCTGGTTTGAGACTATTGTGGAGGATTCTGCTTTGAACCTTGTTTTGTGTCTCCTGGTGCCGTTTTGCACGCATTTCTCTAGTGTATACACAGAGACGTAGGATAGCTGGCTCATGGGATATACTCATCTTCAATTTTACTAAATAAAGCCAAACTGTTTTCCCCGTGAAGAAATACACACGTCTGTTGTACCATATCCTCGCCCACACTTGGTATTGTCAGACTCTTTAATTTGTGTTAATCTGAGTGTATACCAGTAACTCATGCGGCTTTTCGTCCATTCACTCACTAGTCACACACACATTTCATTTCTGCAACAGTCTGGTGTTCTGCCAGGCCCTGAGAATGCCTGATGAATAAGAGATGTGGTCCTCGCCTTCCAGGAGCTCCTCACACCCGAGAAAGAGAAAATAAAGAGAAAATGATAGGGAAATGCAGTACTCCTTAAAATGGGATAAGCTTGGAGGCCCTGGGCACACAGGAGCAGAGCCTGGAGGTCTGGGAAGGCTTCCTGGAGGAGGTCACATTCAGTGAGACTAAAGGAAGAGTGGGAATTGGGGCAGTGAAGGCAGAGAGGAGAATAAAGAGAGGGAATGCCTGGAGGTGAGCCAGAGCAAGGCATATTTAAGGAATTACAAGAGCTTCAGCCAGGCTGAAGCTAGAGTTGGGACAGGAGCAGGGGCATGAGGCTGCAGAAGTCAGCAAGGGCCAGGCAGCAGTGTCTTGTGGGGCAGGCCAACAGGCTTGTCCAACTCCATCCCGAGAGCCGTTGGGGTGGAAGGGATTAAAGCAGGAAGTGGCATGGTCAGCTTGTGTTTTAGAAAGAGCCTCCTTGGCTGCCATGTGAGAATGAATCAGAGGCAGCCACTCCACGCAAGGGGTATCCAGACCTGTGGGGCCCCCAAGAGACACATCCCCATCTCCACAGCTCCTGCTTCACCTGCACTGGCCCATCCTTTAGCCAATCACCCTCACCTGGACCTCGACTCTGGGAGGAGAGCAGGGTACCGTTTGCGTCCCATCTCACCTCATTCCTTCTGCTTCTCCCCTCTAGCCAAATGCCATTCTTCAAACATGCCAGGCATTGCACCCACCCCAGGGCCTTTGCACCTGCTGTTCCCTCTGCCTGAATGCTCTTTCCCAAATATCTGCATGGCTCACTCCCTCACCTCCCCCAGACTTTTGCAAAACTGTCATCTTCTCAGCGAGGCCTTTATTGATCACCCTCTTTAAAGCTCCACACACACCCTCTTCGGCACTCCCCCCAGCCCTCTGCTCCTGCTTTGTTTTCGCCAAAATACCCAGCACCATTTAACATACTGCATGTTTTACTGAGTCTTTCCCTTCCCATTAAGAGGAAAGCACTGGGAGAGCTAGGATTTGGGTCTGTTTTGCTTGTTGCTGTGACTCCAGTGCCTACAGCTGCATCTGGGACATCATAGGTGCTCAATAAATATGTGGAAATGAGGGATCAATGTCATTAACAGCAACAGAAAAATTAGCATGAAGCCCCACCATTTAATACATTTGTTCCATTTATTGAGTAGCTGCCATGCCCTAGGCATCTGACATGCTTTATCATCCGAGTTTATTGTGATGATAACAGTGCTGTTAGGAAGGCACTATTGTTATTCCCATTCCACAGATGAAGACACCAAGGCTCAGGATTACACAGCCAGGACCGACTCCAGAGCCTTAGCCCTGATCACTGTGCTCCTCTGTCCCCCTTACTGGGCAGATGGGGAAACTGAGGCCCAAAGAATTGCAGGCACTTTCCCAATCAATCCGCGAATAAACCAGGGTCAGAATTAGGTCCCTCCTTTTTGCACTGCCTCCCACATTTCTGCAGAGAACACGCCCCTCCCAGTGCCCATCCTGGCCAAGCCGGGAGCCCCTTGGAGACACTGCCCTCCCTGGAGCCCCTCTGGGCCCCCCCTTCTCTCTCCTAGAGCTGGGGGAAGCTGGGGCAGGGGCTGCCCCCTTCCCTGCTCACAGCCGTATCCCCTGCAGAGATGTACCAGTTCAGCATTCAGGAGTCGGCCCCCATCGGCACGGCCGTGGGACGAGTGAAGGCCGAGGACTCGGACGTGGGCGAGAACACGGACATGACTTACCACCTCAAAGAGGAGAGCGGCAGCGGCGGCCACATGTTCAAGGTCACCACGGACGGCGACACTCAGGAGGCCATCATCGTAGTGCAGAAGGTGCGGCTGCCCCAGGAGGGGCGGGGGAGGCAGGGCCCACGGCGGCGGGGGTCAGGGAGGCCTCGGAGCCGCCAAATACCCTCACCCCACTCCACTCCAGGGATTAGGTCTCCCAGAGACCCAGGACCAACCTGGGAAAACGCTGATGTATCATTCCCATTTTACAAATAAGAAGATGAGGCACAGAGAGGTTAAGTGACTCGTCCAAGGGAAGGGGGACAGAGGTCAAATCAAGAAGCAAAAATTCACCTTCCACGACTTGGTCATGGCCTTGGCAACTCAGGGCTGCACAGGCCTTTGAGACTTCCCCTCCAACCCTGCTCTCCCACTGGAGGTCCAAATCCCCTGCACTGGCCCGCAAATGGTTGTAGGCTTTTGTATACCTCCAGGGATGGGACGCTCACTCCCCACCATTGTCCAGATCTTCCTCCCTCCATTCAGCCAGAATCCTTCTCCCTATATCTGCTCCTATCAGCCTGGGCTCTGCCTTCTGAGACCCACGGAAACAGCTGCCCCTGACAGCCCTTCATTTCCCCCAATAAGTACATTATGACCCACTCTCTGCCCGGCCTTAGGGTTTGAGGATGAGAAAACTCCCAGTTTCTTCAGCTCCTTCCCAGAGGATCATAACATAATAGCTAATACTTCTAACAAAATGTCTACGAGCACCAGGTGCCCTTCCACAATTTCCGTGTATTAACTCATGCAATCCCTACAACAACCTCTGAGGTACCATCATTGCCCATTTTATAGATGAGAAACCGAGGCCTCAAGAAGTTCAGTAATTTGCCCAAGGTCAGAGCAGAGTAAGGATATGGGCCCCCAGTCTGGCTCCAGAACCCACCCTTTCAAGAATTATGTGGTTTTCAGCCTTCTGATCTCCATTTGTCCTCCCTTTAAGGTGAGCCCATTTCACAGATGGGGAGTTGGAGGCCCAGAGAGGCCCAGCATCACAGACCAGCAGAATCAGGCCCCAAGCCCAGCCTTGGGACTCCAGCCCGGCATTTGTTCTCACCCCTAGAGCTGCCCCCTGCCCCCCCCCGCCGATTGATGACCTGGCTCCAGAGCCCATGGCTCACTCCCAGGCCAGGCCACTGCCTGCCTCCCTGCCTCCTGATTTCCCAGGCAACAGGACAGAGGAAGGAGGTGGCCGTCTTTGCTGCTGGGGAAGGTGGGGTGGGAGGTCCTGAGAGGAAGGGAGGGTCCCTACACAGGGGGCGGGTCTCTAGGAAGTCACCCTTGGGCTCAGATAGCTCCCCCAGGACGCAGGTGAGGTGCTTGCAGCCCCACCATGGCAATTTCTCTTGGCTACAAGGCACTGTCCTCAGAAGGCTGGAGTCAACACACAGCCAAGGCGCTCATTCATCAGAGGGTCACCCATTAGCACCCCCTGAGGAGAAGCCAGGCTCAGCATGGGCTTAGCCGGATCTCTGAGGAAAGCTCTAAGGCAGCCTGGTTTACCAGGCTCAACGTCTCCTTTAAACCGCCCGACAGAGGCCCAGAGAGGCTAATAGATGGCCCACAGACACACAGCTAGTCAGCAGCAGATCAGTGTCCTTTCCTCTCTCGGGTTAAGGGCCGGGACTTGGGAGCCACAGGCCTGGGTTTGAATCCTGCCTCGGCCAGTGACTGGCCGCTAAGCGACCTTAGGCAACTTACAGAGCCTCCTGGGCCTCAGTTTCCTCATGTGTAAAACGAGATAATAATAATACAAGCCTGTTAGGGGTGTTGTAAAACTAGATGAGTTGATATATTGGAAGCACGGCACATAGCAAGTGCTTCGTGCATTAATAAATTAATGAAATGCCCCAGCATACCGTGCCGGGAGGCCGCAAGTCGGCTCAGCCCTGACTGGCTGTGTGTCCCTGGGCAAGACTGTCCCTGCAGGGCCTCAGTCTCTCCACCTGTAAGCCGAGCGTCGGTCTGGGTCTCCGACGGCCACTCCCCCGGGGCAGCCCAGGTACCCGGGCGCCCCTGCTGAGTCGACGCGTGACCCCGGGCCAGCCCCGCCCCCTCTGGGCCCACCTCCCGGTCACTGAAGAGCAGACCCCAACCCGCTCTCGGCCTTCTGCTCCCCCCAGCGCCTGGACTTCGAGTCCCAGCCCGTGCACACCGTGGTCCTGGAGGCGCTCAACAAGTTCGTGGACCCCCGCTTCGCCGACCTGGGCACGTTCCGCGACCAGGCGATCGTGCGCGTGGCCGTGACCGACGTGGACGAGCCCCCCGAGTTCCGGCCGCCCTCCGGCCTCCTGGAGGTGCAGGAGGACGCGCAGGTGGGCTCCCTGGTCGGCGTGGTGACGGCGCGGGACCCCGACGCCGCCAACCGGCCCGTCCGGTGAGACCCCCGCCCGGGGCCGACGCCTCCTGCCTGCTACCCCGCCACCACCCGCGGACAGACTGCGGGCAGAGGGGGCGGGGCGGGGGAGGAGGCGGGGTGGGGGAGGGGAGAGAGATGGACACAGGCCGGGAGCCAGAGGCAAAGGAAACATGTGAGAACAGTCACAGAGAGGCAGGGGACTCAGGACGAGGAGGGAGAACCAGGTGTGACAGCCACGGCAGAGTGACCCGGGCTCAGTCTGCGCGCTCCTCTCTGTCCACACTCGCTGCCTCGTGCTCCCAGCCAGTCCATCCCTTCGCGATGGCTCCCCAGTTCCACTCTCTCGCGCCACCCCTCTGTCTCAACAGCTCCCCTTGGATCTCCACTAGACGCCTCACACTCATCCTGTTCAGAACTGAGTCAGAAAAAAGACAACTCCATCCTTCCAGTTGTTCAGGTCAAAAATGTTGGACCTGTCTTTCTCTGGACTCCTGCCGTTCCCTCACACCTCCCTCCAGTCATCCATCAGCAAATCCCGTCATCCCACTTGGAGACGGTCTCCAGAATCTGACCGCTTCTCACCACGGCCTGCTACTCCCGGTCCCGGCCACCACTTTCTCCTGCCTGGATTACTGCGGTTGCCTCTGTGCTGGTCTCCCTGCCTCTGTCCTCTCCCCTCTTTAATCTAGAACCAGCACAGGAGCCGGGCCCATCCTGCCCCAGTGTAAATCAGAGCATGTGAGGGAACGGCGTGAGGTGTGAGGGAACGGCACAAAGGTGTGAGGGAACGCTCCTCTGCTCCAAGCCCTCCCAAGGCCCCTCTCTGGCTCCCAGTAAAAGACCAAGTCCCCCCGAAGGACCCCCAGACGCTGTGTGTTCTGGCCTCGGTATAATCTCTCAGACTCACCTCCCACTAGGTCACTCTGCTCAGCCACCGCCTCCTCACAGCTCCACACACGCACCAAGCTCACCACCACCTCAGGGCCTTTGCAAGTGCTGATCCCTCTGCCTAGAACGTTCTCCCTAATATCCCCATGGTTTGTTGTCTCACTTCCTCCAGGTCTTTGCCCAAGAGTCGCCTTCTCCTGAGGCCTTCCCCATCACTCTTTCTAAAATTTCATCCCCACCCCCAGCCCCAGCCCTGACACTTCACACCCCTTTCCTCATTTTCCTCTGTCCTCACTAGCCTTCGTCACGAGCTAACATGCTGCCTATTTTTCTGATGACTTTGTTTGTCTCTCCCACTAAAAGCTAAGCTCCGTGAGGGCAGGGATTCATGTCTCTATGTTCACCTCTGTATCCTCAGGGCCCAGCCTGATGCCCAGCGCTCAGGGGACACTCACTGACTGCGTGGTGAATGAATGAAATGTGGAAATAGAGGGAGACTGAGAAAAGAGACAGAGAGAGACTCATGGGGATGTAGAGAGACCAAGAATGAGAGGAAGAGATCAGAGAGAGAAGAGAACTGGGCGAAACAGGACAGGAGTCACTAACAGAGACAGGCAATGTGGAAACAGAGGAAGGAGACTTGGAGAGAAAGCCAGAAAAGGAAAGAAATAGAGACACAGGGAGAGAGAGGCAGAGCGGGGATGGAGGCAGGTGGGTGGAAGGGCACTGTCAGTGTAATGGGAGGGTTTGGGGGCTGCAGGGGTTGGGGAGTCCCTGACTGTGGCCCAGGTTGAAAGGTCAGGTAGAAGAGAAGGGAGGAAAGATTGTAGCAGAAACTGATCCAGAGGAGGAGGTCAGAGTAGGAGGAATGACCTTGGTTGGACGCATGGGAAGGAGATTTGGGAGTGCCCTGCTTTCTCTCTAAAACCTCTGTACATAGTCGATGAGTGATCCCGGAGCCAACAACATACCTAGCTTTGTGCTGAGCATTGGAGAGAGGGGGAAGGGAAGTTAATTTGAGGATGTCTGTAATACACAATTCCAGATGGGTGACATTGCCATCATCATCTGTGTGAATGGCTCAGAGCTGTACAGTGCACAGCCTCTGCAACCTTATATGGCAGCCCTAAGTGAAGAGACAAAGATGCCATCCTGCTTAACTGCCCATGGGCTCCTAGACTGGGAGGTATCCTCAGGGGTCTGGAAAGACTTCCTAGAAGGGGCAGGAATTGAACTGAGCTGGGTACCTGGGCCTGGTCAGGTATAAATATGAGGTGAAGGGCATTCTGGGTGGAGGAACAGCTTATGCAAACGTATGGAGGCAAAGGAGTAGTAGGTGTGCCTGGAGGAGAGCAGACTGTGACAGCCACAGTGGACGGAGGGAGATGAGGCAGCAAACGTGACGTCTGATGGGCCTCGAGGGCAGGCCGAGGAGCTCAGACCCTCCAGAGGTCCAGAGGGCCTGGGCTTCCTCCTCCCTTCTCACTGCCAAACCCGTCCTGCCGCTGCCTCTGAACTCCTCCACCGCCCTTCCACCCAGGCTGTCGGGACAGTCTGTAAACATCCGCTCAGCCTCTGGCTCCGCCCCAGACCTCTCCCAGGAGGGCATTATCACCCAGGTTTGTTGGGAAACTGAGGCCCGGAGAGGGGCAGAGGCATCCCGGCCTCTCACAGGCAGTGAGACCGGGGAGTAGGAGCAGGGTCCTTGCCCCCTGCCCTGGGTCGGCGCTCCTGTCTGCCTGCCCCTTCCTCTCCAGTGTCGCTCCGCACACCCCCCAGTCTTCTCCCTCCTCCCTCCCTCGGCTTCCCTTCTCCACTGCTTTTATCTGCCTGAAAGGCCAACTTTGAAACCCGCTTCTCGCTGCTTTCATGTCTCTTTGCCGGCCCCTTCCCTGGGGCTCCTCAGACGTGGAGGCGGCGAGGAGCTTGAGACAGGTCCAATTTACCACCACAAACATTTACCCAACCCCTCCTCCGTGTCCGGCCCTGAGCCAGGCCTGGGGACGCCGAGATGACTCAGCAGGGACAGCTGGGGAGGAGCACCCAGTGTGCAGGGGACAGATGTGGAAATGGGAGGCCAGTGGGAGGCTGTCGAGGCAGAGAAGGGTCCTCACAGGCCACATGTGCTGCCCGGCTTCTGTCCTAGCTCCTGAGTTCTGAGGGTCGTGGACTCAGTCAGCAACTGTGCATTGAGTCATGCCTGGCACTGTTCCAGGCAATGGGGAGCAACAAGATTGACACAACTCAACAAATGGTTAAATGGGATCATTGTTGGTAAGAGCTTTGAAGAAAATAAACAGGGTAGTTAGATACATAGGGTTGGGGCCTCAGGGGGCTACTTTGGACTGAGTGGTCAAGGAGTTGACAAATGAGCTGAGACCAGAGTGATAAAGAGAGAGCCAGCATGCAAAGATGTAGAGAAGAGCATTTCAGGAAGAAGGAACAGCAAGTGCAAAGGTCCTGAGGCAGGAACAAGCTTAGTGTGTTCTGGAAATGAAGAAATGAAGTGGTACCCTGGGAGATTTTGCCCTGCACTGTAGGCACCTGGGAAATACAGAAATGCAGATACAGAGTGCTTTTTTTGAGTCCCTGAACTGGGGAGAGCGGAAAGTGCCTCATATTGTTGCATTTGCCCCTCAGGAGGTATTGTACTCATTTTACAGGCGAAGAAACTGAGGAGCAGAGAGAAGTGACTTGTCCAATGTCACTCAGCTTAGAAGGGGAAGGAATGATTTAACCCATGATTGTCTGCTCCTGAAGTCCAGGCTCCTGCCATTTCGCCCCTGCTTCATACTCCCTTTGTGGTTGGGTGCCCTCCCCTGCGCATAAGGCAAAGGGATGAGTCCAACGCAGGCGGAAGGGAAGGCTGAGCCCCCGTGTGAACACATCTAGTGACAGATCCGAGTCTGAGTGGGCTTGGGCCAAGGCAGGGGCTTGAAGACTAAAGAGCTCCAAGGAGAGGCAAGGACTCTGAGCACCAAGGAGGGGAGTGAGCACAGGCTTCCCTCAGTGGCCCCTGAGCAAGGGCGAAGAGGATGGGGTTGCAATGGGGAGAGGGCACTCCAGGATGGAGTCAGGGTGAGGGCCGGGGGACAGGACAGGATTATGGAGCCAGGAGCTTCAGTTCAGGAGCAGGGAAATCAACTGGATGTGCTCACGTGGGGAGTTGGGGCAGGGGGAGATGAGGACAGAGGGGCACTTGGGGACAAGCAGTGGAGGACCGTGAATGTCAGGTGAAGGACGGGACTTGATCCTTAGGCAGGGGGAAGCCTTGGAAGCTGTAGATGGAGAGAGGAGAGTGCTCAGACAGGCCCGTCTCTGCATTAAGCAGCCTTGCAGACAGACTGGCTGTGTGTGAGCCCAGCCATAGTCCCACCAGCCCCAGCCCCCGCCTGAGTTAACTTTGAACATCAAAAGCAGGAAAGCCCACACTGGACAGGGGGGCAAACACGTCTTTCCTCCTCGCCCTCCACAGTGGGGTGCAGCAGAAAGTACGTGGGCTTTGGAATCAGAGGAGACCTGGGTTTGAATCCCTGCTCAGTGGTAGAATTGTGGGAAAATCATGGCACCCACTCCAAGCCTGTTTTCCCATCTCTAAAATGGGCATCATGATAGCAGTACCTGCCTCATTCATTTATTCAAAAAATAGGTGTTAAGTGTCTGCTGCATTCCAGGTTGTGCTCGGTGCTCCCAGGGTGGCAGGAAGGATTATTTAGCACATAGTGGGCCCTCAGGAAATGGACATCACCATTTTTCTTGGTGGTCTGGACATCCGTTTCTCCCGTTCATTCTGCAACCAATACTAACCACATACAATTTTCCAGGCATCCTGTGTGGCTTTGAGTGTGTGCCTTAAAGGGGAAGGGGAGGGGGACCAAGTCACAGACGGGGTGGGGTGAGCGGAGAGGAATCCCTTGATTTGGAGGGGCAGCCCTTTTGTATCTGAAGAGATTCCCCTACTAGTAGCTCGGGTGGGGTCTGCATCATGCAGCCTGCTGCTTGTGTATATCTATGAGCCCACCCACAGGAGCACGGGAAGCCGGTACACACAAGAGCCTGCAGCCTCTCATGTTTATTATGTCTGTGTGAGCTCTGTATGCACGTATTTATGTGGAGGAAAACTACATGCGCACCCAAGCCAGGAGGAAGTACCCTCCCCACTTCCCCCACCGTGACCTTGACAACAGCAGCGTTTTGTGCTATTCATAGCGTGTGGGAGTGCTGGCAGGTGTACCTGGCTGGTCCTTAGGAGGGTGCTCTTAGACCTGGGGCTCTGGACAGGTGTGGCCTGGAACTTGGCTCTGCCACTAACCAGCCCTTCTGATCCTGGGCAAGGCACCTGACTTCTCTGAGCCTCAGTTTCCTCATCTGTAAAATGGGGCTATGACAGTACCTGGGAGGATTTGAGGAGCTCATGCATGTAAAGCCCTTAGACAGGCCTGGCACAAAGTCTTGCTCAGCAAATAAAAATAACAGCTAATCCAGACATCATGTGGCAGGTGCCCAGCACTGTTACAAGTGTTTTGTTGGTAGACGCTTGTCTAATCTCACAACCACCCTCTGAGGTAGGTACTATTATTATTATTATCATTGTTATCATCTCCATTTTTAAGAGGAGGAAACTGAAGAACAGAGAGATTAAGTGACTTGCCCAAGGTCACACAGCTAGGTTTCAAACCTAGGCAGATCCACCCTCCTGACTACCATTCCCAGGCCTCCCTTGCATGCATGCACGCACACATGCACGTACACACACTAGCTGACACAAACCCACATTCTCACACTGCATTCTTCCACCCACGCCTGCTCCTGTTCCCTTCCTGCCCTCCAGGTCCTGGCTGACCGAATGAGAAGCAGGACGAGGAGATCTGAGCAGAACCTTCTAGACCCACAGCTGCCTCCTGTCCTTCTCAGACCACTGGCAATGCTCTGGCATCCATCCGTGGTGCCTCCCACCCCCAGGCATGCAGACCACCCGCTGGGTTAGAGGGACTCCTGTGTACCTCTTACCAGACATTTCTGAGCAATAATTAGAATAACAGTAGTTCTCACTCATGGTGTAATTTTCCTGGAACTCAGCTGGCTGGTACCTTATCCCCCAGCTAGGCATTTAATCCTCCCAACAACTTGCAAGGTAGGATTAGCATCTCCTTTTTGCTGAAAATTAAGGCTCAAAGATGGAAGCGACTTGCCCGGGGTCATTGTGGACCTGGACGCAGAGCCAGGGCTGGGTGGCTGTCTCTTAGTTTTTCTCTTCCAGCTGCGATGCAGAATCTCACACACACGTACACAGACACACACACACACACACCGCCCACATATTCAAGTCACACGCACACACTTTCCACCCACAACACAGACCAGACACACAACTCATGCACCTACACATGAGGTGCACCAGCTCCCCCCACCCCCCATCCCCCACCTTAGCCAGGCCACGCTCTTTGCCACACGCGGAGCCCCTCCCTCCCACTTGCTCGCTGGCTCCTCGAGCTGGAACAAAACCACCTGGGCTCAGCCAGCCTCACCGACCCGCAGCCCCAAGTCTTTAGCTGGTTAATGGCGGGTCCCCGCAGTCCCCACCCCATGGCCTTGGGAACAGCTGCCTCCACTTAGATTCCAGCCTCCCCGCCTTCCACTCTAGGAGGGAACAAAAGAGGAAAACTGGGAGGAGGTGGACGAGGAGGAGGCAGAAGAGAGGAGAGAGGTCTGAGCAGAGAGGGGAGGAGAAGCCAGAAGAAGGCAGTCAGCATCCTCCCACGAGCCCTGCCTCGTGCCCAACCCCGGCCCAGCGATCAGGAGCCCCAGGCTGTGCCTGGCCCCCGGCCCTCTCCTGGACCCTGTTCTCCCACCTGTGAAGTCAGGAGGCAGTCTTCACGGTGCCTTCCACCTGAGCCGACACTCAGACAGTCTGGTTCACCTCCTTTGGACCCAAATATCTGACACGGCCAGGCTGGGGCAAAGGCAACCATTTGGATGGTTCAACAAGCTAGAAAGAACTCTGGGTATACAGTCCCAAATTCGGGTACAAATTCCAGTTCTGTGACAGTCCCTGGGCAACCTTGGGCAGGATCATCACTAGCCCATATGGCAGCTTTGTGTAAATAAGAAAAAGGCCCTTCTTTGAGAAGATACTCCCTGGGGCTAGGACACATGGCTTGGCAAGCAAAACAGTGGCTGGACTTCACTCCCACCTCCCCTCTTCAGTCTGGCACCCTTGTGCAGCACACAACCGGCACAACCATACTTGGCAGTCTTAAGCTTGGCAAGTTTCCTCTCTGAGCCTCAGTGTCTTCATCTGCAAAATGGGGGAGATCACATCAGCTTCACAGGATGCCAGCAGAGACCTCTTCTGTCTCGTTTGCCCCTTGATTCCCAGGGCCTAGCCCAGAGCAGCACAGAGAAGGCACCCAAGTAGTGTCTAGGCACGAAGGAATGAATGGAGGGATGGCTATAGGAAAGGCAGGCTGCAAACTATGATACTCATGGGAGGAATGATCCTCTTGGGTCTGAACCTCCCCGCACACGTTCACCCCGGTCAGAGGGCCCAAGCTGGTCAGAGGCAAGGAGGATGTGGGCTTAGCAGCTTAAGGACGGGAAGGAGCATTAAATGGGGACTCAGGAGACTGGCTGTGATGCCCACTACACCCACATGCTAGGCCCTTTGCAATTTGCCACAAGCCTTTACCTCCACTACAGCAGTCAATATGAAAAGAATAAGGGCCATCCCCTAGGCCCAGATCTACCTCCTCTAACCCACACCAGCGGGAGGTGAGCATGAATCACCCCCTTTTCCAGATACGCAAACAGAAGCCCAGGATGTCCAGTGACTTGTCCAAGGTCGCACAGGTAGAATAAGTAGCAGAGGATTCAAACCCAGCTCTGACTGCTCTCTGATGTGCAGTCCCACTAGATGTCATTGTCCCCATTCAACAGATGGGGAAACTGAGGCCCAGAGAAGTTGGGTAATGGAGCCAAGGCCACACTGAAGGGTCATCCCAGGGCTTTGGGCCCCCAGCAGGGGGTGTTTCTGGTGTCCTGGCCTCCTTTCCCACTGGGAGGTGGGGAAAGGGCGCCTTTCCTCCTGCCTGCGGGAGGGGCCGGGTGGCTGGGGCTGATCCCCGCCGGCCAAGCTCCTTTGTCCTCGCGGCACAATGAGGCCTTGCTTGGCGTTCGAGGCCTTTGTGGCCGCGCAGCCTGGCGGCGCCCCCGCCCGCGCTATCAGCGCGGGAAGCGGCGGCCGGAGCTGGCGGGGCCTCTCCGGGCCGCCGCCGCCCGAGACGTGTGTTGGACACGGGCCTTTCAGGCCCGGAGCCGCCGCACAAAGGCCCGGGAAGAAGGCGGAACAAAGGGCTTCTTCACGCGGCAACTGAAAAGCCGCGGATTAGCTCGCGCGTGCTGCGCAGGCGGGGAGGGGCGGCCGCCGCCCCCAGACCCCTCGGCCCGGCGCCTCCTGGTGCCTGCCCCCCCCTCCTTCCCAGCTCTGACCGTTTTGCACCGTTCACCATCCCCTGAATAATTCTCACCCGCCCCGCCTTTGCACCTTCTGTGCCCCCTGCCCGGAATGCCAGCCCCCTCCCCTTCTCAAGCCCAAGTCTAGGGTCACCTCTTATGGAAAGATAATCGAATATCCAGTGAGGGCGAGCTCTGTGCCAGGGACTTTGCCCGCTTCCAGCCCTCACAACAACGGTAGGGTGCAAATTATTAGCCCCATTTCCCAGCTGCGGAAACTAAGGCTCAGAGAGGTTGAAGGCTACCCGTGGTCACACAGCAGGTGCAAACCCAGACCCCTTCCCACTCCTCAGTCGGACAGGGTTTCTCTGCTCCTTGTGTCTCCCAGACTGGTGGTCTCTCTTGTGGGATGGGTGGGGCGACATGGGCGCCAGGGCACCTTCAATCAGCCCCGCCCTGCCTCCCATAGGTACGCCATTGACCGAAACTCAGATTTGGACCAGATCTTTGATATCGATGCGGACACGGGCGCCATCGTGACGGGCAAGGGGCTGGACCGCGAGACGGCGGGCTGGCACAACATCACGGTGCTGGCCATGGAGGCAGGTGAGCCGGGGGGGCGGGGCAGATGCGGGAAGGGGCGAGGGCTGAGGGGCGGGGCAAAGAGGAAGAAACTGGGCAAAGATGGCCCGCGGGGTGGTGAGGCAAAAGCTGATGAGCAGGAACAAGGATCTGGGAAGGATCTTAAGCCAAAAGCGCAGGGCCAGTCTTGAGGCTGGCTTTCTTCCCTCAGCATTTATTGAGCACCTACTGTATACTAAGCCCTGTTTTAGAGGCTGGGGATACGGTCCTGAACAAGGCAGAGAAGCTCCTGTCTTGGTGGGGGAGAGCCAGTCAGTCAACAAACTGAGAGAAGGGGTGTACATAATATGTCAGGTGATGTTAAATGCTAATAAGAAACAGAGAAGAAGAGAGCAGGGGACGGGGATTGGGAGGAAGAGGGTGTTCATTTCTCTGCAGGGAAGGCCTCTCTGAGGACACATTTCAACAGAGACCTCCATAAAGTGAGAGGGAGTCATACCCACGTCTGAGGGAAGAGCATTCGAAGCAGAGAGAACAGCCAGTGCAAAGGCCCTGAGGTGGTAGTTTGCCTAGCATGTTGGAGGAACAGCAAGGAGGCCAGTGTGGTTGGCGAGGGCAGAGTGGTCAGCCGTTGTGGGGTCTTTGGACTGTGCTCCGAATGAGGTGGGAGTCCCTGGGGTGGTTTGAGCAGAGCAGGGACGTTGCCTGACAGGACACCTCTGGCTGCTGCGTTGAGAATAGACTGTTTGGGGGCTGAGGGGGAAAGCAGGGGCTCAGCTGGAGGCAAAATGCAATGGTGCCAGCAAGATAAGATGGTGGCCTGGCCCAGGGTAATAAGCCCGGAGTAGGCAAGAAGTGATCGGCTTTGGGAGACAGGCTGACATCAGAGCCGACATGACCAGCTGCTGGGATGACATGGAGGTGAGAGGTGGAGAGGGGTCAAGGATGGCTCCAAGGTGCTCAGCCTGAGTTTCTGGAAGAGTGTGTGTGTGTGTGTGTGTGTGTGTGTGTGTGTGTGTGTGTGTGTCACAGGCAGTTTGGTGCAGCTGGGGAGGAGTGTGAGCTGGGAGAGAAAGAGGGGCCCCTGAGACATGGGGTCCACATAAGTAAGGCCGTGGAGGGGAGGAGCTAAGAGCTTGGGGATTCACGGAGCACTAGGAGAGGGGACAGTGCGGTTGCAGGCCTCCTCCATAACCAGAGCAAGGCTGCCACCACCGCTGCCTGGACCTGCTCTCCAGCCGCCCACCCTGTCGGCTCTCAAGGTCTCGGGAACCAGCTGAGCTGCCGCTAAGCAATCATGACAACAGGAATACTGAGAGTCTCTGAGCCTCGGTGGGCGACATTCAAACTCGCCTCTGTACCCCTCGACCCCAAGCCCCTCCTGCCCCTGCGAGCCCTCCTGCCAGCCCTCCTCCACCTCCCCCTGCTGGCACCCTCCCACTTTGCAGACCCCACCAGCCAATTCTGGGCCAAGGAAGTCCCTAAGCTGAAGTTCCCTTCCTCTCTTTCAACTTCAGTTTAAAGGAAAATACAAAGCTGGCTCAAACCTCCGTGCCTGCTGCTCCACGCCTTTGAATCCACTCCTCCACCGCATGAAAGGGAGAGGACAAAGGTGGCAGGAGAGGAAGTGGCGGCTGGACTGGGGGGAAGAGAGCTCCCCCTCCCTGCCTCCCTGAACCTGCTCCCTGGGCAGCTGGGGGACAGCCTGGCTGCTGGGCAGAGAGGCGTCCTCTCCCTACCCACAAACACGTCTCCCCCAGCAGCCCGTCACACAGTCTGGCGTCCCACCACTAGCAAGTCCCCTCTCGGGTTAAGTGAGCATCGTGCTTCTACCCAGTGGGTCTCCTTCAGAAAGCAGCCAACATAGCATACAAAGTCTGTAACCCTGCCACTTCACAGTAGAAAGAATGTGGGGGGACTGTCCCCCCACAACATTTACAATGTTTACCTGATATATATTCTGGGCTAGATGCTTTCTAGCACATACTTCTATCGAATCACGATCAGTAACAGATCAGCACCCATTTTACTGACGGGAAAATCGAGGCTCAGAGTTAGGAGACGCCCAAGGATGTGCAGCGGCAGAGCTGTGATTGGGCCAAGTCTGCCTGCCTCCCTCCACAGCATTGCTGTGTGGGCTCCCTTTCCCTGGTATTCTGCTCTCTGAGCCCCAGCCCTACCCCACCCACCAGTCACCAGCAACTGACCACGGGGAAGGAGATGAGTCTCTGCAAGGAGAAGACTGGTCACCAGACTAGAGACCCCCCTCCCGAGCTGCATTCCACAACCCCTGCCCGACGCTCACCCGGGGTATTCATCAATGGAAAGATGAATGGATCCCACCTCACAGTGCTGGTGGGAGGATTAGTTAGGATAATGCACCGAAAGAACTTAGCCTAGTAGGTGGTGAGTGCTCAGTTAGCGGTATCTGTTGATCTTGACTCTGTGCCCTTGATGTAAACGCCGACTCTGTGCCAGGCACCTTTCAGGGATGTGCTGATTGAATCTTCCTGCTGAGAGGGGTCGAGTCTGCTGTCACCCCCATGTGTGGATGAGAAACTGAGATTCGGAGAGGTGGAGTCATTCATCCAAATTCCAGCCCCAGCCCATCTGACTTGAGAGCCCAGCTCTCACCCAGATGCCCTCAAGTCCTATTTCCTTGGTGCCAAGCATGAAGCCAGGAGTGCCACAAATAAGCCACTCACTCCAGCTTCTTGCCGTCCCCGAGAGACAAGGACAAAATTATTACCCCCACTTTACAGATGAGGAAACAGAGGCTCAGGGAGAACCAGCAATGGCCTCAAGGTCACAGAGCAAGTCCATGCAGAGCCAGGGCTCCACCCCAGGCCTCCTGCCTCTCAGCGGCCAGCCCGAGCCCCAGTGCAATGCCGGTCGGTCTGCCCACCCGTGCCCTCCAGTCGAAGCATCCAGAAATGGGGTGCTCGCGGTTCACGGCAGCCCTGCCTGCCCTGGTGTAACAAACACGAGGTGACAAGAATCAGAGGGGAAATATTCCTACATGGCAGCGTTGCTGTGCGGGCCCCTCGGAGGATGCTGCAGCAGCCGCAGCCGCTGCCTGTCGTGCCGGATTAGCTCAAAGACTCCCACACCACTTAGTATGCCAGCTCCCTGCGCCCGAACTTCTGAGTCATCCATTCTGCCCATGCAGACGCTCCTGCCACTGACATTATCTGAACGTTTTGTAATCATGAAATATTAATGACCGATATTGAATTTAAAGTACAATTTGTGTCTGAATCTCTCAGTGGAAAGGGCAGTTGTAAAGGGACAGGGGAGGACTTGGAAAGCCAGCACTGGGGTGGGGGGTACCAGGGGTACCAGCATCTAGCCCCCTCCTCCAGGGTCGTCAGGCCCTAAGCTGGTCTGGAGGGGTGGGATCCAGCTGCCCGGGACAGCAAAGAGTTAACCAGATTAGCTAGAAGCTTCCCCATCTGGATCACCCCAGGCCAAGTGCACCCCGATTTTTCCATCACGCTGCAGAGCATGCTTTATGATTTATATATGCATTTGTGTGAGTACTTAGTTAATCTCTCTCTTCCCCAGGAAACTGTACCCTCCACAAAGGCAGGGGCTCGTATGTTTCTGCAGCATTCACACTGGGCCTGGCGCATAGTAGGCTGTATAAATATTTGCTGAATGGATGGATAAATGGGCTCACCCACCCAGTGGCATGATGGAGGAGAACTGGTCCCAGTCGCCCAGTTCCCAGCTGTGTGCTTTTTGACAGGTCACTCCCCCTCTTGTCTTAGTTTTCTCATCTATAAAATGGTACTGTGTTGGATGACTGTAAGGATAATAACTATTAATAATAGCAGTTGCTATTTATTTGAAGCTTACCAGATGCCAGACATCATGCTGAGTGCTTTACATCATGCTGAATGCTTTACATAAACCATCCCACGTCACGTGCATTAGAAATCACGTACACAAAGGGCCTCGCATGCTTCCTGACACACAGTAGGTGCTATTCATAGTCAGAGAAAGAATCTGAGGGGAGAGGGAACGTTGGAGATGATGGACACCAGACCCCCGCCCTGTTTCATAGCTGTGGGGACTGAGCCTAAGGAAGGGAAGAAATTTGCCCAAATCGACTCAGGAGGTTCTGACTCCCAGCCCAGTGCTCCTTAGGGGGACAACAGAGGGGTTTGAGGAGGCTGGAGGAAGGAGCAGGGACGGGAGTGAGGGGTTGCAGTGGGGTTTGAGTGGCAGAGTGCTCAGTTTCCTCCAGGGACAACCCCCTTCCCTCCGTGTCTACCCTCAGTGTTTTCTGAGGGCCCCTTGTCACCTACCTGGCCTGGGCTGGGCGGTGGGATCTGGTGGCAGACAAGATCCCTGACCTCAGGAGCTCACAGGTGGGCAGGGGAGAGACACGTCAACAGTGAGTGGGAGTAGGGGACAGTGGGCACCGGGAGGAGCAGGGAGGGACTTGCCCATCCAGAGGGGCAGAAGGCAGGAAGCCTTTCCCAGAGGAGGGGACATCTGAGTTGGGTCTCAAAGACTGAGGAAGCCTTTCTGGGCAGAAAGGGGGTGTGGGTGCTCCGGGCAGAAAGATCCCTGCATGCAAAGGCTTGGAGGCACAGCGGTCCACTGCCCATTCTGAGCACGGAGACTAGGTGTGTCCGGAGGCTGGGGCTGGAAGATGGCTGGAGCAGACGAGGTGAGGTGGGCGTGCAGAAGCTCACTGGGCCTCCTTGGATGTCCTGTGAGGCACGGCCATCTCCTGGAGACGACACGGAGACAATGTAGGTCTTTGAGCAGAAGGGTCACATGGTCAGATGTGCCGTCCCCAGCGTTCACAGGGGAGGGTGGACAGGAGGGGGCCGGCCTGGAGCAGGAGGGCAGAGGGGAGGCTGTCGGGAAGACTCAGGCTTAGATGTGTGCAGGGGGTGCCAGGGCTGGGCTAGGATGGGCGGGAGGAGGCACCTGGGGGGCTGAGTGTGGGGAAGAGGCCTGGCGCCGCCCTGCGTGGAAGGGACCGCTTTGGGAGGCAGTGCACTCCCCAT